TTTTTGGGATGGAGAGTGGGATTTGGGATATCTGTGATGATGTTTGGGACGGGGAGTGGGGTTTGGGATGTCTGGGATGGTGTTTGGGATGGAGAGTGGGATTTGGGATACCTGTGATGATGTTTGGGATGGAGAGTGGGATTTGGGATACCTGTGATGATGTTTGGGACGGGGAGTGGGATTTGGGATGGTGTTTGGGATGGGGATTGGGATGGGGGATATCTGGGATGGTGTTTTGGATGGGGATGGGATTTGGGATATCTCTGATGGATGGGGATGGGATTTGGGATATCTGTGATGATGTCTGGGATGGGGATGGGATTTGGGATATCTGGGATGGTGTTTGGGATGGGGAGTGGGATGGGGGATATCTGTGATGGTGTTTGGGATGGGGATGGGATTTGGGATATCCGTGACGGTGACCGCGAAGGGGCCCATACCCAGCAGTGCCCAGACCAGGGATTGCCCGGAATGGCTCCGGAGCTGCTCCAGCAGCGCCCGGCTCGGATCCCTCGGGACAGGGATCCCACTGGGACGGTGCCCACGGCCCCAAAGGGCTCCAGCGACCCCCCACTCACCACCTCGAACCACTTGACGAGGGTGCCAAAGTTGGGGTTCTTGCGGTAGTTGGGGATGAGGGCGGACTGGACCCCCCGCCCCGCGCACTCGATGTCCACGCGCGGCCGGTCCACCTGGGCCAGGTTCACCCTCTTCAGGTCCCGCAGACCCCAGAACAGCACCTGGGGAGAGGGGGGGGGGGCGTGAGTGGGACAGGGAGCGTCCCCCGGGACGGTTCTCCATGGAGGGGGATCCAGGGGTGTTGGGAGAGCAAGACTGCGCGAACAATTTCTCCCGAGATTTTGTAGGCCGTGCTTGACGTTACTTTGGAAGTTGCGAGCCGTGCGGTGTTCATACTCATAGACTGTGTGAAACTATGCGAGTTCATGCTCGTTAGCTGCGTGTTCATAGTTATAAGGTATGAGAAAATAGTATGTTTATAGTAGAAAGTCTTGGGAAACTGGAGATAAAGAGACAACTGCGGAATCTCGGAAAGCCCCTAAAGGCGGATCAGTAGGAGAGACTTTGGGTGGCAAGAGTGATCTCAGACCACGTGGACAGAGCTTCAGATCCAATGAACTGAAGGCACGAATGCGTGCACAGACTGAGTTACCCAATCACCTTGTTGTGAGCACACACCCGGAACGAACTAAACTGTATAAAATTTAACTCATTTAAATAATGAATTGAACGTCGCCTGATCATACTGATCGTCCGCGTGTGTTCCGGAACTCCTGCCAGTCCACACAGGGGATCCCAGTGGTGCTGGATCCCTGAGGGGCCTCCCCCTCCCTCCTCAGAGCCTCTCTGAGCCCCCCAAAAAACCCACCCCAGGCCTGACCTGCACCAGCCCACCCTCTCCCACCCGCTGCCCTCAACACTCCTTTTCCTGAGTTGTTTCCCTTCTTCCCCTTTCCCCGCCCTGAGACCCCGCGGAGCAGTATTTTCCACCCCAAATGTGGCTCCCAGCTCAGCACCGGCGTCGCCTCGTGGGATCGGTGTCACCGTCACGGTGGGATCGGTGTCACCGGGCAAACCCGCTGCTGCTCTCTGCCTGGGGCAACAGGGCTGCCACCGGGAGCAAAAATTCCCCCAAGTGGGGATTTTTCCACCTCCTGATTCCTCATTTGGGATGGAAAAGCCCTCCCAGCCCATGGATCCCCCCTGTGCCCCATCCCCACCTTGTCCCCCAGCCCAGAGCACTGAGTGCCACAGCCAGGCCTTCCTGGGACACCTCCAGGGCTGGGCACTCCAAACCTCCCTGGGCAGCCCCTGCCAGTGCCTGACCACCCTTTCCAGGGAGAAATTCCTCCTCCTGTCCAACCTGACCCTCCCCTGGCACAGCTGGAGGCCGTTCCCTCTCCTCCTGTCCCTTGTTCCCTGGGAGCAGAGCCCGACCCCCCCCGGCTCCCCCCTCCTGTCAGGGGGTTGCAGAGCCAGAAGGTCCCCCCTGAGCCTCCTTTTCTCCAGGCTGAGCCCCCCCAGCTCCCTCAGCCCCTCCTGCTGCTCCAGCCCCTTCCCAGCTCCCTTCCCTTCCCTGCCCACGCTCCAGCCCCTCCCTGTGTCTCCTGTGTGAGGGTCCCAGAGCTGCCCCAGCACTGGAGGTGCCCCAGCAGTGCCAGCACAGGGAGGGCACTGCCCTGGCCCTGCTGGACACACCGGTTTGGACAGAAATCCCCCTTTAGAGGGACGTCCCACCCTCGCTGCCCGAGAATCCCCAAGCCCTCTTTGGGGGACACGACCCGGCTCCCCGGTGTGTTTTTAGGGATGTTCCAGTGCTTCCCAGCCCGACCAGCCCAGACAGATCCCCGCCCTTTACCTCCACCCTGTATCTGCTCAGCACCGGGCGGATCCCCAGCGGCACCGGCAGGATCGGGCCCCGCTCCACGTCCGTGGGGCCGTCGATGGGGGGCAGGTCGGACTTGCCCCCGGGGCCGATCTGGAAGAGAAGGAGTCGGGATCGGGAGCTGCCCCCGCTTGAGCCGGTGCTTGGCTGCTGGGAGGAAGCTTTTTGTCCATCCCACGGGATCCCGGAAGGGCTTGGGTTGGAAGGGGGATCTCCACGACCATCTTGTCCCAGTCCCAACCCCAAGAAGCTTTTTGTCCATCCCATGGGATCCCAGAACGGATTGAGTTGGAAGGGGGATTTCCAAGACCATCTCATCTCAATCCCAACCCCGAGAAGCTTTTTGTCCATCCCACGGGATCTCGGAACAGTTTGGGTTGGAAGGGGGATCTCCAGGACCATCTTGCCCCAACCTTGAGAAGCTTTTGGTCCATCCCATGGGAATGGTTTGGGTTGGAAGGGGGATCTCCACAACCATCTCATCCCAACCCCGAGAAGCCTTTTGTCCATCCCATGGGATCCCAGAAGGGTTTGGGTTGGAAGGGAGATCTCCAAGACCATCTCGTCCCAATCTCGAGAAGCTTTTTGTCCATCCCATGGGATCTGGGATCGGTTTGGGTTGGAAGGGGGATCTCCACAACCATCTCGTCCCAACTCCGAGAAGCTCTTTGTCCATCCCATGGGATCCCCATTTTCCCCATCCCTCAGGACCCATTTCCCCATCCCCCTTTCCCTGTTTCCAGGGACAGGGAGCAGCTCCTTCCCAATCCCTCCCAATCCCAGAGAGCCCAGCCAGGGAGCAGCTCCTTCCCAATCCCAGAGAGCCCAGCCAGGGAGCAGCTCCTTCCCAATCCCTGACAGCCCAGCCAGGGAGCAGCTCCTTCCCAGTCCTTCCAATCCCTGAGAGCCCAGCCAGGGAGCAGCTCCTTCCCAATCCCAGAGAGTCCAGCCAGGAAGCAGCTCCTTCCCAATCCCTCCCAATCCCAGAGATCCCAGCCAGGGAGCAACTCCATTCCAATCCCAGAGATCCCAGCCTGGAAGCAGCTCCTGCCCCATCCCTCCCAATCCCAGAGAGCCCAGCCAGGGAGCAGTTCCTTCCCAATCCCAGAGAGTCCAGCCAGGGAGCAGTTCCTTCCCAATCCCAGAGAGCCCAGCCAGGG